CCTGGCAAATCCAACTTTCCAACAAGATAATGCCCGACCACATGTTGCAAGAGTCACAATATACTTCTTTCAACATAATGATGTCACATTGTTACCATGGCCACCAAGGTCTCCCGACTTATCCCCAATTGAGCATGTGTGGGATATGATGGGTAGGAGATTGCTCAATTTGCAACGTCCTCCTCAGACTCTAGAAGCACTTCAAGAGGAGTTAGTGGTTGCCTGGAATGAGATACCACAGGAGGACATTGACCACCTGATCAGAAGCATGCCTAGGCGCGTTGGAGAATGCGTAGTATATCAGGGTGCATCCACACATTATTAAAGGTCAAAGGGCTTTAAAGCAGTGCAATCATTTTGAAATTTTTATCATTTACTTATTATGCTTCATTAAGTACTTATACAAACCTTTGTTAAAATAAAACCATTTAAACTGGGTGTTCGGATTTATATGTCACTTAGTATATATACTGTTCATTGAGAACAATAACTATTATTATCATTATTATGAAATGCGGGCCACTCCACCGCGCTGGTATGATTGGTGTCATTTGCCTCTCTGACAGCGATGCGATTATCGCTATCGTCTTACCGCGACGGTGTGGGGGATCCTTAGTGCTGTGCGAAAATAGTTATTGAGTTATTTGTAATAGAATCCGTAATGCTGCTAGACGAGTAAGGCAAACTCTAATGCTGTGAGGTCCGGTATCTTCTTTTCTATATATAAATTTGATTGCATACTCAGTCTGACAGCATCGTGCCTGACCACAATACAGAGAGGCGTAAAATTTGGTATATCCACTAATTGATACTTGAGGAAGGTTATAGTTTTATCCGCGAACTCGTCGTCGGTTCTGCGTCAAGCCGGCGCTGTTACTTACACAAAACATTATTTTCATGTAACGTTAAGAACTTCCGATCACGGTTTCTATCTTTGATGGGATTAATAAATTGTCCGCCATCTTGCACGCTTGAGAAATTTGATCACTTCACTAGTCATGCGCCTACACGTTCCGCGAGGCAGAAAGTTTGTAAATAAATAAAAAGATAATGGCCCCTAGTCTCCGCCTATGAATATACTGATGTACACCACGGCACGACAGAAAGCTGTCTCTCCTTTCTATAAATTGCCCTTTTAGCGATTTAGCAAAGGTTCACTAAGCACTTGACAAAAGTTGGCCGATTCATCAGCTGTCCTAAATGCGCCCTATTAGCTTGTTACACTCGCATACGTATACGTAAGCACCACTTTATAAAAGAGGTCTACATGTTATACTGCCATTCGATCATTTCATGATAATCGGATTTAAAAGTATATTTTCTGAAAGCATTAGCATCATTGACGTTTGTGTACGGCGCACATTTTCTGTTGTGTGAAAATGCGTCTGAACACACCAGTAACCTGAATACAACATATCTATAAAATATTATATACTAAGTGACATATAAATCCGAACACCCAGTTTAAATGGTTTTATTTTAATAAAAGTTGGTGAATGTATTTATCTTACTGTAAATAACAAGTGAAAAAATTATCATCCTTATCAGTTGGACATTCCGGTTTTTATACTGCTTTTTTTTAATTCACTAACGCTCACTATTTCAGCCGCAGTAAAGAATCAACGTTGGCGGATTTTGGTTCTTGACATCCTTTACGATCGGTTACGATGCCTAGAGTACGGAGACCTGTACGATTTAGTCAACTTAGTGAGTTTGATAGGGGCCGTATAGTGGGACTTCGGGAAGCTGGACTTTCTTTTCGGGCATTTGCAGTTAGAGTGCAAAGAAGTGTAGACACTGTGGTTAGTTGTTGTCAGGCATGGCTTCGAGAAGGCCGTACGCAAAGAGCAAGGGGCACTGGACGCCGCCGTAGAACAACAGACCGTGAAGATTGCCGCCTAAGATTATTGGCGTTAAGGGACCGTTTCTCCACTACCAGGTCCATTGCAAATGAATGGTTTGCAGAACACGGAAGACCTATTGGCATGCGAAGTGTTTACCGACGAAAGAGAAGTTCTGGCTTGTTTTCATACCGGCCACACTATGTCCTCCCTTACTCGAGAACACCGACGTAATCGCCTTGAGTGGTGCAGACAACGGTCACTCTGGGATCAGGAATGGAACAGTATTGTCTTTAGTGAAGAGTCTCGATTTTGTTTAGGCATGCACGATGGTCGTGCCAGGGTTAGACGGCGACGTGGTGAAAGGAGGAATCCACAGTTTTTTGTTGAAAGACATGTTCATCACACTGTTGGAGTTATGGTTTGGGGTGCTATAGCTTATGGTTCCAGGTCACCTTTAATCTTCATCAGAGGTAACATGAACGCGCAGCGTTATATCCACGAAGTTCTAGAACCCCATATTTTACCCTATCTTGATAGATAATGCCCGACCACATGTTGCAACAGTCACAATAGACTTCTTTCAACATAATGATGTCACATTGTTACCACGGCCACCAAGATCTCCCGACTTATCCCCAATTGAGCACGTGTGGGATATGATGGGTAGGAGATTGCTCAATTTGCAACGTCCTCCTCAGACTCTAGAAGCACTTCGAGAGGAGTTGGTGGTTGCCTGGAATGAGATACCACAGGAGGACATTGGCCACCTGATCAGAAGCATGCCTAGGCGCGTTGGAGAATGCGTAGCACATCAGGGTGCATCCACACATTATTAAAGGTCAAAGGGCTTTAAAGCAGTGCAATCATTTTGAAATTTTTATCATTTACTTATTATGCTTCATTAAGTACTTATACAACATTTTATTAAAATAAAACCATTTATGCTGGGTGTTCGGATTTATATGTCACTTAGTATATTTCGAGAACACAGTATGATTTTCATCTGTATCTAGTAGAATAATTATTTGACAGAAAATATCTATGACTTGTTTAGGTCGTTTGCTCGCTCTTCGAGCCTCGGCATTCAATTACATTATTTAGACAATTGGACATTGGAAAATGTGTAACATTTAGAAAAACCAGATTATCGCAGAATTCAACTCAATAAGAAACTATGGTATTATTTTTGGAAGAGCTAAACAGTCTGAAGATCACTGACGCATTGGATACTATATTGTCGCGAATGGCATCTAGTCGAGGTTTAAATAAAATGAAGTTTTCTTCACTTCAAAAGGCTCAAGACTTACTTAACGTTCATGTACCCCTACATACTGCCCTATATACCCTAGTAACATTTATGAAGATCAAGAAAAATCAAGAGCTCTACAAACTTCGCAAAACATATAAAATGGCCTACAAATACCTAACCTTTGACAACACCGATAGAACTCAAACTGCCTAACGCACTATACAGGGTGTTATGATATGTTTGTATTTTTACGGAATATTCTATTGTCGTTGTCACTGAGTATATTTGCTGTTGATTCTGAACTAAGTACCTAGATAGTAGATAGTACCTCACAATATGCCGTCTCAAAATTTATAGGTGCCTCCATATTAAAATAAATTGCTCCTTTCAGCTTTCAATAAAATAATCACTAAAATTACCCGCTGTTAGTCGCAAAGAACTTCAAGCGCCCATTGTGCTTCGAACAAATTAAACAAAAAGAATAATTTTGTTAATTACTCTTTTTTCGCGTAAGTAGGCACTGCAAGCACCGGTGCCGCTGTGTCTCATTATCAACTCGAGTTAAATTTTTGCCGGGGAAATTTTTTAATTATAAAATTAGCGACGAGTAGCCGTATAATGTGAATCGTATACATTTTGTCGTCTGAAATTTCCGACGCTAATTTTATTGTTGGCAGTTCTCAGAAAGGGAGAGCTTTAAATCGGCCCTTTTTGTTCCTTTCAGAATGAATGGTGCTTTGCTCTCTGTGCTCTGACGCTCTATTAAGGCTTCATCGTGCCTACTGATGCTCGACACAACTCATAGGCCATTTGACTAGCTACAATGGCTGTATCTTACCCATGTCTATAGAGGATAGTACTTATAGTACCGAAAATAGCGCGCCAATGTTTGTATACAGGGTTTTCTCAAAACATGAAGCAAATAAGTATTTAACGGGTAGACTTCGCCGATTTTTGAAGTACCACATCATTTTGGGGATACGGGCAGTGAGGGGCGCATGTAAGATACACCACATATACAATGACAGCGATTTTTCAATTACCAGAAAAGGTATACGTATAGATATTTATCATTTATGTAGGTATAAATAGTTAGAATTCTAAATAAATGAGGGTCATTCCTAAAATAAAATAAAATACATGCTGGAAACAAAATCCGCCCATACGCCTAATTTTTTCAATTTTTAGGAGAAAATGTACGGGGAAATCTATAGTGTGTACAATATGTCTAACAGCTGAGTAGAATTACCGAGGTTGGGAGTGTATCAGCATACTACTCGTACCTTGAAAAAAATTAAATATAACATCCTCCACCTTCTACAACCGCCCACCCCTCAATGTTTGTATGAAAATTTCATCAAAATCCGACCAGTACTTTCCAATTTATAGTGGCGGCAAGGTATAGTGGACAGACACACAGACCAACGAAAATGAGTGACATGTCATACAACACCCAAAAAACATAATATCTTACTTTCGATTTTTTCGCGGATCATTTTATCAAAATCAAATGAGATTGTATTTTTCAGATAATAAATCAGGTTTTTCAGAAGTATTAGTTTTGATCCATAATTATACAAGGCGTGAAAAAATAGCAATATAGCGCTAGAGTAGTCCGACCTTGGCAAACTAAGCTACTCAGTTGTTCTCTGTAGATACCAGCCAATTATGGTACCTTAACTTGTTACTGTGCAATCGCACAATCCGTTGGATTGCACATTGTTGTTCAAGAAAAACCGAGTTTCATTGTTGTCGTTTAGGCATCTGTATGTCCGAAACAAAACAAAATTTCGCAAATCGAAAAAGGACAAAATACTTGCAGAATCGTCCAAAGAAACTTTGCATTTTTCCCCATGTTTTGGAGAAGGTACCTCGAAGATGGTTCGAACAAAAATTTTGTAAATTACCTGCACTCTAGCTTCGCTGAGGTCCAGCCTCAAAGCGAGGTCTTCCCGAGTAAAAACGTCCGGATACTGCGTCTTCTCGAAGGCCCTCTCCAATTGGTGCAATTGGTAGGTCGTGAAGGTCGTCCTGGACCTCCGGATCTTCCTTGGCCTGGAGTCTTCCGACTCGTCCATACTTTCTTCCACCATTTCACTTTCACTGACGGCGCCGGCGCCATCGGCTTGCATCTCCTCAGGATCTGTAAAAAATTCTTTCATTAGAATAATGTATGAGAAACAATAAGAGTTTGATTGTTATTGAGGTAGGCAGTATGTATAGAATTTGAACCTGAAATTCGCTTAAATACAAAAAAACTGTCACCCGAGGGCTACTCGAAAACAACTTCAACACTAGTCCTGATCAAATGAATGGCAAGTTCTTTTTTCCAATTTTATATAATCACCACATAAATGTTAATCCATAAGTTCAATCAAATATGTGTACTAGCTTATTTTCTATGCTAAAAGTAGCTCATTCATAGATATGGTTCCACGTTTTATTGATTTTTCGGATGCTAATAATGACTTCCTTATCAATACATGCCTTGAAAGTTGTCACTGTTTTTATGTGTCACGACGGATCATTTGATCATTTTCTAGTTGCTTATAAAATCAGTAGAATTTATTATTTGACTATGCCAACTTCTTACCAAGATGATGGCATAGTGCTTTTTTGAGAACCAGGTTTTGTATTTTTTTGACTTGGTCAAGCATACCATGTGTCACAACCATGACTATAATACTTGAAAATTGTTTATATTCACCGTGACAATACTGATAGGATTCACAACCATAGAGTCAGTGATGCCATGGTTATGACTTTTAATCATAGTTTTTTATTTTTTGTTTTTTTTTATAGACGCAGCCGTGCAGGCAGAAGCCTAAATGCCGGAACACCGCGGCTGCTATGATGATCCCAAAGAAATTTTGTTAATACGATTTTTGAACTGCCTAAGGATAGTAGAACAGGGAAAAGCTTCCTCTCGTAGATTGTTCCACAATCTAGACACCCTCGGCACAAAGGAGCGGTCGTATCGGCCAGTTCTGGATGTGCGAAGTTTGAGACGGTTAGGATGGGACGCCGTAGTCAGCCGGGTCTGTCTTGCAGGCACATCGCGCGGCGGCATCATGGAGAAGAGCTCTGACGAGCAAAGCCCGTTGGTGTAGCGATAGAAAAGAGCTAGATCGCCGACGACCCGCCGGTGCGAAAGAGTCCCGAGACTGTATGTTAGAGAAGAGTCATCGATCAGTCGGACCATCCTCCTCTGGACAGCATCGAGCATGGACAATGTAGTCGGGGCGGCAGCACCCCAAATGTGTGAGCAATACTCGAGGCTAGGCCTTCCCTGGACCTTGTATAGAGTGAGCAGGTCATGCGGAGAAAAGTACTTCTTAGCCCTAAACAAATAGCCTAGCTTTTTCCCAGCAGCTGCAGCTATTGACAAGATGTGTTCATGCCAGATCAGGTCCTCGGTGATCTGGACTCCGACCAGCCGAAATGAATGGCTCTTTGGTAGAACTCGGCCGTCCATTGAAACTGGATGAGCGCTAGGACGCTTTTTGTTCGTCAAAGCACAGTAAGGGTTTACTCCACAATTGCGTGACGTAAGCTAGGAGGTCCCCTGTGAATCGGTGGTGCCGGAAACCATACTGCCTGTCGCTAATCAAGCTGTGACGTTCGAGGTAGTCCAGAAGCTCGCGATTTATGCACCTCTCCATCACTTATAACAGAAAGCAGAGCTATAGGCCTGTAGTTGTAAGTGTCGGTCTTAGATCCTTTTTTTGGGATGGGCTGGACATGAGCAAATTTCCAGTTTTCTGGGAAGGTGCCGGATTCATAAGATATCTGGAAGAGCCGCGAAAGAACGGGAGCAAGCTCCGCTGCACATCTCTTCAGTACAATGGCAGGAATCAGGTCCGGACCAGAAGCTTTGTTGATGTCGAGCGAGAGAGCACTCGTCTTACGGTCTTATGCCTGAATGTTACCTCCCGCATAGTGTGGGGAACCCTTTGAATTGACGGCACTTGGGCGTTGGTGGGGACGTCCATGGTGGAGTTGGCAGCAAAGATCTTGGCTAGCACTTCCGCCTTGGCCTTTGAGTCGAACACAATAGTTCCATCCTGACACGTAAGTGGTGGAAGGCTACTGTGTGAGAAGTTCTTTTCAATCTGCTTGGCCAGCGTCCAGAAAGACCTACTGCCATTGCGCTGCGACATTACCCTGTGCCTAACTTTTATATCGTGCTGGTTTTTGGCATTGCGAACCGTTTTGTTATATTTGTGTCTGGACTCGAGGTCGGCTTGTCTGTTCTCTACAGTGGGGTTTTGTAAGTAGGTTCTGTGAGCCTTGATCTTCTGCTGGCGAGCAGTGTCACACGATTTGTTAAAGAAGTCTCTGAGCCCCTCCCAGTCGGCATGTCCGTAATGCCCAGTTTTGCGGCCTGTACGAGTTTCTGCTGCCACAGCGGGTTCTGACCGAAATCTAACCTCCACAACACCGTGGTCTGAGTTACCCAAGGGGGACAGGACAGCAGGTCTGTAAGGGACAGGATGCGTGGTCAGAAAGAAATCCAGCAGGCTACTGGCGTGTGACGAGACGCGGGGGAAAAAAGTAGGGCTCGTCACCAGCTGGGTCAGCCCTTCAGCAAGAGCGAACGCTTCGACTGCACGACCTGCTGCATCGGTCTTATTTGAACCACACCAAAGCTCATTATCTGGACGGCAAGGTATTCGAGAAGGTCATCCCAGTTATGGTCCGAGGGAGAGCGATAAAGGCAGCAGATAAATTTGGGTGATGTTTTGGAGTTGAGGCGAAGCCACAGAATGTCCTTCCGGCCTGATTCCAAAGAAACATCTCAGGAGCAGGAAAGACTGCTGCGCACAAAAGCCACAACTCCCACGTTCTTTCTCAGATTGGAGTGGACCTCGTAGTTTTGGAAGTTGAGATGGTTAATCGGTGCACTCTGAGATTTTTGTCTCCGCCAAGAAAATCATAACGGGACTATTGGATTGCAGGTAGTGATGAACAGCATCAATGTTGCTGTTAATCCCGCAGATGTTCGAAAAACAAATTTTATCTTCGATGTTGTTCCCTCGAGCCCACCCTCCACCCGGATATTCCGAGAGTGGAGTGACTTTACGTCTGGAGTTCTCAGTGCTCGAGGGATCCATCACCATTAATTTCTTTGTTTTGGAAGATATCCGACTGCATAGCTTAGGTGTGGAAACATGCGGACATTTATAAGACACCCTGGGAAAAGCTAGCGGGTGGTACCGCCTCGGTCGACTGGTTCTTGTCTACCACCTTCTTTTTACGTGTTAGTGATATTAAATAGACCTAAAGTGGCCCGATGGCGGACTTGTACCGCCACCCGGCAATCGGTATTGAGGTATTCCTTAACGCGTGTACAATCACTTGGACGGGAAGAAGTTGTATGCTGGATACAAAAACTTCCGGAACAAGCATTTGCCACGGCCCTCGCTCAGTAGGGAATAAGATAGTAGTGATCTATTATCACAGTTTGAGCTCGGCAAAGATAATGAACATTTTTACATATATTTCAAATGGTGGGAATGAAAGCAAAATCATAATAATTTACCTTTTTATACTGTCACTGAAACCAAGAATTACCAAACTGTCTATTTTATCTATATTTTGACTTTACTAGTGGTGCTTGTAGAAGAAATATACATGCGATATTCAAGATATCTCATATAAATCATACCATAGCCTTCAGAACTGAACTTGATGCAATCCGAATGCCTTTGTATCAAAAGGCATGGGTATCGTTCAACATTACTAGCGTTAAAATCATTAGGAGTACATCAGCATATTTTAACACTGGCTCATCCCGTAGCTAAGTCGGTCATTTGGCGTATTTAGCGTCGACAATTCCCTTTAGCCCGTGTACTTTCAACTCTACCCTGTGCTCGCATGCGACATTTGGTATTCATAGAGCGACCCTCCACGTCGTATGTGTATGTTTTAATAGCTTTAACGGCTCTGGATGATTTTATGTTGCACAAATTGAATGTTAATACCGGTGTGTTCTGTGGACCCTTACGCTGGTATATTATTCGTTAGCTGAGAAGTAAGCCTTTATTCCCATATTACAATTCAAGCTTATGCTTAGTTTTGTTAATCGTAATTTATACTACATGGCCGAATATTTTCCTGAATGGAGGTCATTGCAACTAACATTTGATTTTTTTCAATATAATGTCTTCTCATAATCACATTATCAAGTAACTTATCTCAAAAGCTTTCCCAAACATTCCGGGTAAGGAAATTGATGGGTGTACACTATATTGAAATGTCAAAATAACAGTTGAAAATAGCAAGTTGACAGCTGGGCGCCATCTTGGGACATTAGATTTTTTAAACTTCTTGATAGTATAAGCCTGAGAATACAAATAAAATGACCATAGTTCAAAACAGCAGTTCGTTCTCCCTAGGAGGCTCTGACTAGGTGATCATCCTGGTGACAAACACTTAGTTCCACAGTTTGAACAGCCCCCTTGCACAAATTCTCGATGATTTGGTATGTCTGGCGTAATCATGAAACTGTTAATTGAATTATTTCATAAAACAGATACGTTTGTTTAAGCAAATGATACAACTAATTTGTCTAAATTAACTTTAATGACTTCACTAAGTGGAATTGTTTTGAAGGAAATGTCCCCTTAACAAAAAGTACAAATTACCGGAAAATTACGATTTGTCATCGACTCTGAATCAGACTCATTAGAGACAAAGCAACTCAGTATTTTAATTTTTATTCATAATCACTAGTACTAGATGTAGGGAACAAGTAAGAAGAACTTAAAACCCCATAGAAGAATTGTCTCGATAATAATGATAAAAACCGGGTAGCTATTACGAGCCCTTGGCCATACGGCACTGGCAATGTTTAAGTCCAAATTCTTAAAGAACTAGTCAAAACTTACGAGGAATTTGATATCCCTGTTGCTGTATGTAGTTTCGATCCTTTTTGGATAAAGTGACCACAAATGTTCTCCATCTATGAAATGGGCTGAAAACATCTTATGAATTACCCCCATTTTTCTATAGTATGATCATTAGACCTCGCGAATTTAATTACGTCTAAATTGAATTTTGTTGCTGCAGCGATAGACGTCTCCCCAACCAAAAACTTTTATCGACTGGTTGTTTGCCCATCTCTTTAACTTTTGAAAAAAG